GCATTTTATTATTAAATGAAACTTGAGGTAAATCTAAATAATCAAACACATAATTTAGCCTATATATGTGTGAGAGATAATTACCCTTGCACATAGCAAGTGTAGTTAAAATTAGTTAATGTCTGAAATGGTATTGCAATTAAAGCTAAGTTCACGTCCAATCACCATGTTTTTAATGCATATCAAGTTTGCAATTCACAAATCATATCAAGTTAAAAGAAGCCCTTCGGAAGCAAGATCTGTTTCTGGTTTCCACCTGAACTAGAACTTGGAAGAGATAGAGATACCGATATAATGTAGATATATCTTACAGCTAAATTTATAATTACTGGCTTCTGGTAACCTTTAACTAATCTTCATTAAATTGTTACGTAATTCCTTATCTTAAAATTAAAAATTGTTCAATTGTGGCAACAAAGAGTGAAAAAAAAAACGCGTTATGACTTATGAGTTATACTTTTGGTCAAAAAAAAAAAGACTTATGAGTTATACGAGAGTCATCACTTTTTATTTGACGATAACTTTGTTTTACGTAATTCTTTTCTTACTGTGTGTTTAGTATGAAAGAAATAGAGACAAGGAGAAAGGAGGAAAAATTTTAACTGAGCTTGATTTAAAAAACTAGAGAAGTAGAGTTTTAAAATTTTAATAAAGAAAAAAAGTTTTTTACCTTACTTTTCTAATTTTTAAAATCGAGCTCATTGAAATTTTTCTCTCCCTCCCTCTTCTTCATTTCCCTGTACTTATTGGACCCTTAATAACTTTATTTGCTTTCCGTCGAAATAAAAGGAAACAAAGTTGACAACTGCGGAATAATACAATTCAATAAAGCTGATAATAACCTGCTGGTTGCAACTATCAATAATTATACAAAATACCCTTTAAAAAAAATTTTATGAGATAAACTAGTAAGGATCCTACTCAAACATCTTTTCTGAGTTTATTGTTGGTAAGCTTAGATGAAAATGAAGAGACAGATATACAGAAATGTAAATAAAAAAAAAAACTTTGATAAATTAATTATCATTTCAGCTGCAACTTAAGAATCAAATAGACCACAATTCACAATTCTATATGTATTTACAAGTAAGCTACACCTGCGATTTTCTGATCTAAATAAGAATCAACAAAATCAACAACTCCATTCGCTGCTGATATCATCATCACTGATCTCTTCAGAACTCTCTTCACAAGGCTTGTCGTCAGAAGAAACCTTGGAATTAAGAATGGCCAAACGAACAGAGAAAGATGAATAAGCATTGTCTGAATCGGAGGAACAACAACCATCGTCGAAGTTCTTATGGTAAGGATCAATGTCGTATTGTCTCAACTTCTTCTCCTTCTTCATCTTCCTCCACAAACTTCTCACGCTCACCATCTTTGATCCACTCATAATATATCTTCTGCTGCTTCTTAATTCGCCAGTCGCTTCTTCTGGTTCTGCTTCTGATTCCCACAACTAGATTGAACGACTGGGAAGAAAGAGATGGAGACAGACAAATTATAGATAATAGACAGAGAGAGATAGTTGATGTTTTGGGAGCAATGTTGTGTTTAAAGTTCAAGCAGGGGAGGCAAGTGATTTATAGACAAATTAGTTGATGCCGGCACAAAGTCTGAAGGGCGCATGATTTGAGCAAAAGTAAGAATTGAATCGTTCAACATGCAAATCCATTTTACTTTCACTAAGCTTTACAGTCAAATTCAGTAGCTTTATCGTTAGATTTTATAAGACGAGGATAAAGCGTGACGTGGTTTTAATTTATGTAAATGACGATGAAGAATCTAAATTGATTCGGGGGTTCAGAAAGCTATAAACTATAAAGTTTCTTGCTTTGTCAGCAACTACACACACATCTGGAAGACTCTGATTTTGAAAGTGGGGTGTGACTGTACCTTATTGCCTTTTGAAGTCAGATGCAAATGGGGCTTTTATATGATATCGAGTGGAAAAAAGCATGTTAATTGGCTAACGAGAAGAGCCCCGGAAACAAACTTTGTTGACATTCAAAGCATTTCTTGTTTACGAAAAGAGATAGCTGTTCATAAAATAGAACATTCTGTTAAATCCTTTGAACTCAATATGGCAATAATCAGATCAGACAAGAAGAGATTTCTTCTGTATAGCAATCTGCTGCTATACGTACTTTTAATTTTATCCTCTAGATTTTGTTTGACCCCAAGTTTTTCAGTCATTTCAATTTGAGATCTTACGAAAAGATGGCTAACAGAGGTGGTTGGTGGGAAGAGTTTATCATCATCATATGGTCTCTTCACTATAGAAAAAGATGTAGAGAGAAGAAAAGACACTTGAATATAATAGATGAAGGGGAAAAGAAGAGTTTGAAAACCCTAGAGCTTTTATAAATTAATATGATAATATTTTCTATTAACTTTTTCTTTATTCAATTCTTCTTTTTATCCTATTATTAAGTGAAATTTTAATATTCAATATATTTGTTGTATACTATGTTGTTCTTTTACATTGTTTATTAATTTGTTCTTTCTATTCTTTCTGTACATTTTAATTTTGTTATTTTCCTATTGTGATATTATATTATTTATTTTCAATACTTCTTGTTCTACTGTTTGTTTACATATATCTATCTGGTTTATATTATGTTGTTATATATCTATCACGGCATTATATATATGATTATATAATGTTATTTATATTTGAGCTTATCTATTATTTATATTTGATTATGAATTTGAATTTATTTAACTTATTTCGTTCATGAAGACTACAGTTTGGAGAAATTGATTATGTGCTGTTGAAAGCAAGAAACATGTTTATAAGAGTGATAAAAAAAGATGACCACATTGTATTGGAGGAATTAATAATTGAAGAGAATGATCCTTGGTAATAAACCATAACTGAAGAGATAGTGATACTTTTATAATAAAAAATAATTATGAGCAAATAAACCATAACTAAGGAGATAGTGATACTTTTATAATAAAAATAATTATGAGCAAATGTCATAATATGACTAGAAGTCATATGGACAAATATATGTAACAATCCATTAAAAGTAAATGTTAAAGTTGATTATGAAACTAAAAGATCAGGAGATATTAGGAAAAATATTAAACATAATTATGATGTCCAAAGCAATGTTTTGTGAAGAAATATGCCCAAAGTAGTTGAAGTTGAAAAATATAACAACACGCTCAGAAGGTTATACCAAGAAGGCCATATGATATTACTTTAAATTTCTTATTATTGATTGGTAGAAACATATTATTATAAATATTTGATATTAAGATATTGATAAATATTTTGAGGGTATGAAACAAAATATACCAAAAAATAGCTATTAGTCATTTTGAAATATTAATTTATTGTGCCAATTTATTTGCATATTTATGAATATGAATTATGAATATACTTTATTTTCATATTAACAGAATAGCCCAAAAGATGGCATATTATAATAGGAAAAAGATATTAAAATACCCTAAAAAAATGCTAAAGAATAAATTAGAGTAAGTGAATTTTAAAATCTCAAATCAAATCCTTTGTATTACTTTAGAATTTTAAAATATTGTGAAATGACAAAACAATAGTGTCCATAAATAAAAAGCCGTGTAATACACGTTTTGATCATCCAAGTAAATAAGAATACATTCCTCTTTCTCTCAATTTTTCTCTTGTCTTACTCATTTCTCTAACTCCAAATCTATTTTATATTTTCTTATTTTCATAACATAAATGAAAATTTTCATAATATTTGTGAATTTTCACATTGTGCAATGATGGTGCATGAATATCAATTAATATTTTATAAAATGACCACAGTGATATTAGTATTCAATATTTATTATCAATTCATTACTCTTTTGGTCCTTAATATTTGAGCTAATTAGAGAATTGATGTTGGCTCCATATATAAGACCTATTTTATATGTTTATCAATTTTTTCAAATTAATTATATTGATATTTTCCCACCAATAATCAACTAGGAGAAGGGGAGAAGGAATTAAGAAAGATACTTAGAGTGTTTAAAAAAATCATATTAATTAATTTAACTAACATCTTTAATCTACTCATATTAGCTAATGAGATCTTATATTTATATTAATTAATTAGGTCTTATATTAAAAACTAGAGAAGTTTAAAGTATTAAAATATGCAAGAGTTGTATTGCTTGCCCTTTACAAACCGTTAACTTTGCATCTCATTATTGCTTTCATGCAAATGAAAGATAATTATTGCAATCAATATACAATAATGAACTAGAATCAAATTCCCTATAGATTTTTTCCCCTAATCACTATAGATTTAGGATTTGTTCATTATATTTTACTTAAATTGAATCAAATATTTAATATTAATTAATAAGGTACATGTATCAAATTTCTTTTCTGGCTAGAAATGTATCAAAATTAAATCTTGAGCAGATTACTAAGATTAGCATTTTACAAAATATAAAGTTTTTATATTTATTAAGAGAAACAAATTAAAAAGTTTGTATTACTTTTTATTCTTTTATTCATTGGTTAATATTGTTGTTGCTAATAATTTAATCTAATTTTGATTTTACTCGTAATTTTAAATTGTTGGTTTTAATTTTTTTTATGGTTTTATAAGGACTTCATTTGAATTTGAGTGTAAAGATCAAAACTAAGTAAAGGGATCAATTGGTTAATTTCAGATTAAGATATTATAAAATTGTAGAGATTACAACCAATGACTTAAAAACTACCAGTATTAAAATTAAAATTTGATTAAATCATAAGCACTAACAATAGTATTAACATTTTATATATTAATTAAATAAATACACAATAATTTGTATCCTGAAAATTTAATTTGATTGGTCGTCATTGAATTCATTAAATTTAAAAATTCAAAAAAGAACCTAAATAGTTAATTTTTTAAAATGCATTTATTTGTTTCTTTATCTACAATTCAGAGACATCCCCTCTTTGCTTTGGTGAACGCTCTCATCCCTAAAAACTGTTTATAAAAAAGGATGCGCAAGGTCTATTTTTCAAATGCTAAACCATCTTGGCTTCTCCTTTCTTGAACCCAAATTTCGCTCGCCCGAACCCTAATCCCAGCCATTTCTTCCTCTTTGTATAATCGGGTAGAGTTGGCATTCGGGAATCGTGGTCGGAGTAACCGTTAGAGGCGCTGAACGGCTTATTGCTTGAACAATGTCTGCTGCGGTGTGTGGAAGCAAGAGATCTTTCTTTGAAGACCTTCCTCCATCACCTCCAGTATCCAAGAAGCTTCGTTGCTCATCCTCAAGTTCGCCTGTTCGTTTGTCGGTTCCGAGTCTCATCGATCAGCTCCGGGCTGTATTTCCACACATGGATGACCAGGTATTTTTCGAGTCAAGAAAATGAATTGAAGTTGGAAATTGTTTATGTACTGCCTTTCCGATAAAGGCTGAGTGATAGGATTTTTTTTTTCAGTTTTATTTTTGGTGTTGAAGGGTTTCGCTCGTTTCTGATGCTTTCTTCGTCGATGAAGCTTGTAACTTTGGGCTAATAATGAATCCATAATACTATGATGGATTACCCTATGGTTTATTCATATGTATCAAGATATAATCATAACAATCAATTTTTTCGGTCGTTTCTATTGACGTTTGTTAGTCATCTTGTGTGCACTTACCCTCAGTAGAAGGCTATAATAATTTCTGTCACCTTATATATTATTTTCCGTTCATATTTTTTAATATTATTATTCAGTACTTGCATAACATGGAGTGTGCCTTCTTTGTGCCTCTTGCCTAAAGCATTTTGAGAGGTCTAGCTTTGAATGGTTACATTGGGGGGCACTGAGGTTTGGGTGGGGGGGGGGGGTATTCAGGCTAGTTCCTCTTGTACCATGAGTCGCTGCATTCAACAAGGTGCTGCTGAGCAAGCGGATCGCCGCGCCAAAGAAAACAACCCCCCCCCCCCCCCCAAAAAAAAAAGAAGGCAAAACAGCAACACACACACACACAAAGCAGTCTGTTTTTTGCAGAAGTCCGTCTAGCCCAAAATTTTAAAATAAGTCATAGGATAAAATGGGAAGATGCAGTTCCAGTCTTAGGAGCTCAACCTGGTCATTGGTATTTAAGAGTAGGATAAAATAGTTTAGCATTATTTAGGCTATTTGCTTTCTAGGGTTTCCTTAACAAACACACAAAAACAGAGCCATCCCCGAAGTGATCACGGCCACATGCATTTTTTGACTTCATAAGTGCACTTAATATTATGAATTTATCACTGAATAATTGTTAGCTTGAGTAGTGATCTTACTATTAGTGTCATGATTAGTAAATTTAATAATTACTATGTTTTACATTTCACATGTTGTGTGTAATTTAAATTTTATCTTTTTGTTGTTGTTGTTTGTGTTGTATATCTGCTGCCAAATTGAACTCATTGCTTTATTTGTGCGTGCACTTTGTTAGTGCCTCTTACTTATGGAGTTTGAGAAGTCTAGTGCGTTTGGCTACCTTGATTTACGGTGGCACTCTTCTTCTACCAACAAGGATATTTTTTCATTTTGATATTTTACATTTTAGGTCCTTGAGAGAGCACTCCAAGAATGTGGCAATGATATAGATGCTGCCATTAAGAGCCTGCATGAACTTTGCCTGGGATCTGCAAATAAGAATTCTTCTGCTGCTGAAGAATCAGAAGTTGATGTGGAGATAGGTATAGTTTGTATCTGCGTATTGATGTTAAATGAGAAATTAGTAGTCTTCAATCTTAAATGAATCTTTGGATGAAGTTAAATGAATTAGATTGTGCAGGAATAGAAGCTTTTTTTTCCCATATTTTCTAATAGATTCTTTTACTTGCTATTCACTATATGCTGTACAAAATACTGCTCTTCAATTGTTTCCCACTTGAAGGCTCACAGATACGGAACTGAGTTGAATAAGTTGCCTTTGAGAAGTTTGATTTTAATATGACTTCTCATCATGAAGCAATCTGAAACCAGCCTTTGCTAGCTTCCAATTTTTCTTTGTTGCAAGCGTGGTTTTTCACATTTAATCCTACTTAAGTTGGATCCACTTTTAGAATTGTGTCTACCATTCAACATGATGTTCTATCTTGGGCTGAGCGTGCATTTATTTTACTAATTTTACTGCTTGAAAAGAGGAGAGCTATGTGAAATGTTTGTCTTTGCTGATCTATATTTCTAAAATGAAAATTAGGAACTACAAAAGGTTTAGTGCCCTGCCTTGGAAGTCTTCTTGGTTTTTTAATGGATGAGATTGTATGTACGTTTATGTGCACTTATGATGTTACTTCAGAGTTTATGAGCTTACCTTAAAACAACAGAGTTTCAAATATGATGTTACTTCTTCCTGCTTTCTTGCTATAACTATATGCTTCCATTTTGTTTTTAAAATGACATTTAGCATCTCTGATGAGGCATTGGTAAATTTTGAAGAACTTGCAGGTAAAGTGAAAGATGATAATGATGCTTCTGCTTCTGCGAGTAAGACTGCTTTGAACAACCTTCCTTCCGATGGAGCAGAGTGGGTTGACCTTTTTGTGAGAGAAATGGCTGGTGCTACTAGCATTGATGATGCTAAAGCTCGTGCTGCTAGGATTCTGGAGGCCCTAGAAAAATCAATCTATGAACGTACTCATGTGGAGGCAACTCATGTTAATCAAAGGGTATATTCAATGCTACCTAGAATAGTAAATGATACCTGCACATACCATTAGAGAGTCTGGAAAATTTTGGGAAGCAATTATTTGATTAACAGACTTGTGGATACAACTGAGAATGCCAATAGCCTGCTATCCGCTGCTAGATTCATGTTGATAGTCATACTCAAATCTCTTGGTTGTGGCTAAATAAATGCTGTCTTTTTATATATGGGGGTAACCTAGTTGAATGCTCTATGGTTGAAGTAGAAGTTGGGAGATACCTGTTGTTTGAAGACTTTTTATGTGTTAAGATTGTGTGCCCCTTTTTAGTTCTCAAGCTTAAACGTGAAAACAACATTGTTTTGGGAGTGAAGGAGGGGTTGGCTAATTATGCTCATCTGCTGGAACATTTCGTTCTATGATGATCTTCCGTGGTAGGCATGAGAGAATTAGTGCCTGATGATCCCTGGCCAATATGTTTGAATGTCAAGAAAATGTGTAATGTTTGCTTAACTGAATAGGAGGTCGGTTTAATGCTTAGACATGAATCTTCCATGATAGCTTTGTAGGAATAGATTTGCTTGTTTGTCAAACTGCCGGGCTTTGGCTGACACAGTTTTATGCTGTGCACACAGTTGACTACTGTGCATGTCTATACACATTTGTCTAATGTTTTTTGAATGGAAACCTAGTATCTCATTCTTTATTTTTGTCTGAGCTTCTATGATGATTGTTTTAAGTTGTTTTCTTTTTCAGGAAAATTTGATGCTGAAGGAGCAAATTGAAGGGCTGATGAAGGAGAATAATATTCTTAAACATGCGGTGAAAATCCAACATGAACGACTTGCTGATTATGATAACAAGGTTCTAGAGTGTCAGCATTTGAAGCAGGCGTTGTCTCATAGCCAGGAGCAGTTGAGATCTCTTGAGGTCAGAAACAGCTGTGTCCCTGTTTTCTTTGTATGTTTTAGTGATTCGCATAATTGGTTCCAAAGCTTTTGAAAATGTTTGGAAACTCAGCTATTTTCTATATACAATATAAAATCTTTTTGTCCTTTAAAATGGAAAAGAAGTAACAAGTTGAACACAGAGTTGCTAGAAATGACTTAATGAAGTCTTAAGGGAAATTATAGACAATTCTTTTTTCCCCCCAAGGGAGGCATAACCAGCCCTGTAGGGATTGAACGCTATACCATTCCTCTATTAGGGGGATAACCTTGCCATTAGAGCAATGCATTAAGTGCAAAATTCCTGGTGCAAGATTGCTAGAAAACTGGTAGCTGGTCCTGGAACCGTGTCCAAGGGCCTTCACTGACTGAATAATTGTCATGTACTTTCCACGGGGCTGAGAGGTCTTGCACTGGTGCATCATCAACAATTAACCACAGTTAAGGTTCGTAATAGTTTTCTTATTAGAAATCATGATTACTGACGTGGGTAGTATGGACATGGACGCTGCTCCTTTTTGAAGCATCCAAGTTTCACGACAAGGAAATGTCATTAATTTCTCTGTTAGCATGTCTTTTTCCCATGTTTCTCTCTTCCTCAGAGAAAAGATGTAGTTTGCTACTATAAGATAAAACAGAGAAGAAAATGAGATTAAAAAACAGACAAAAATGAGCCAAACTAAGAAAGTATGACTAAGAGAGAGCTGAAAATAGGGATAGAACAGAATGGGCAGAAGAGGACTGATAGGATGTATAAAAAAAAAGAGAGAGAGAGAGAGAGAGAGAGAGGACTGATGGGGTTTTGGGGCCTCTAGTGCCCCATGTAATGTCCTCCGCTCTCAATTTTGTCTTTCTATTCCTTTACCATTGGCTTTCAGATAAAATAAGACATTTTGGCATCTTGCAATGATGAAATTGTATAATTTTGTACTTTTTTAGGATTTTTCAAAGAAAATGGAAAATAAAAACCAGAAAGAAAATAGGGTTCCCCTGGGGAGGAGGGGAGGCTATGAGCTAGCTGTGAATATCATCCAGGAAAATTTGACCGCTTCAGGATGGGGGTGATTGGCTTTATATTAAGGATGTTCATCTGATCTGCCCTTTAAGACCCAGTGCTCTGCCTTTGCCATTGAGTGATGCCTCTTAGTATCCTTGGCTTCTCTTGCATCTTAACATACAAAGTCATTGAGCATTAAACTCTGTGCATTGTTAAGTGAAGGCGGAAGAATGGGCTGGCAAATGGTGAATGAAATTCTAATGGTTAATTTTTGCACTGGTGATTTTACTTTCGTGAATGCTGAATCCTGCTGCGTGAACCGGCTTATTTTGCAGGTGAAAAACTATACCTTGGTAATGCATTTGAAGCAGGCTCAACAGTGCAATACCTTTCCTGGGCATTTCCCACCTGATGTTTTCTAATACATTCAATGTGAGGAATATAATAATAGAGGCAGGCAGCAAAATGGCTGATTCTGGTTTAATTATGTCCCGTCTTGTCACAGTTTGGGATGGCTTTTTGTGTTTTACCATATGTTTGATATTTTTTATAGTGTTATATTTCATCAGTTGTCGATTAATTCAATCATGGTCTATATTCTCTCATCTTGCCATAAGGGTCTCATTTAGTTTATCTACAATTTTAACCACAGTAATTTAATTTCCTGAAAAAGGGTTTCTCTTTTTGCAACCTTCAATTTCAAGCGTTTTAACTGTATATGGTAATTATAATGCGAAGTATTGAATGACCATTTATAATGCCTTGGTTATTGAATGCTTTTGATTCTCACTGCTTATCCTAGTCGTGATCGTTGAGGAACAATTGGTTTTGTTGTTTTAGAGTCATTATAAAACTTATGATTGTGAATTTTAGGCATTGAAGGAACAATAAAAGTAAAGAGAAATAAAATTTGAAGTGATTGTACATAAGAAAAGGTTATTTTGAAGAAGGCAGTAGTAAAAATTGATTAAAATGACTTGGGTACGTGGAAAAAAATTGCTAGATATGTTAGGGATAAGAGTTGAACAGGTAGTTTTTTGTTTTATTACTGGCTGTGCTATCTCGTAACTGCACTTCATTGTAAATCATGATGAGCACAACTAAAACTATTCATGCCAAAAAGGCCTCACATGAGTAGGCACTTTTATGACCCAAAAAAAGAAAAAAAAGAAAAGGCGCTTTAAATTCAATGACCAGGATTGGAACATTGTACTCTTGCATGATTCAAGTTACATGTTACATTAAACTTTCACGAGGCAACTAAATTCCTTCAAGTCTCCTTATTATTTGTAGTCTGTTTAGACGTATTTTCACTTTATTTTTTTCAAATTAATTTGTTTAACTTGTAAAGTGATCGTATTTTAAAAAAATATTATATTTATTATAATTAATTAATTTATTTGATTTTCTTAGTTTATCTAAATTAACTGTGTAACTCTTATATTATACTAAGGACTAAAGAAAATACTACTTTTGGTTTTTAATGTAAGAGTTATTTAAATAATAAAATTGGTTAAATTAATTATTTGTAATAAAAATGAATTGATTTTTTAAAGTTTTTTTAAAATCATGATTACCTTTTGAATGGGAACCTCTTGAGATGTATAATTAATCTGAATGATTTAGATAATGAATTATAAATTTGAGAACTAAAATGGATTGGTTTCTTATATTTAGGATTAAATTTAAAGGAGAATTACAATTAAGTCCCACAAAAGAGAAATAATTATCAAAAGGTTCCAATAACAACCTTAACAGTCTATAATGACAAGTCCTATAGTGAGAATGATAATCTTTAAGACTTGTTTTTCAATTATTTTTGTTACTTGGGATCTCATTATAATTCTTTCTAAATTTAATTATGTGAAAACAACTTTTGACTCTGGTAACATTAGTATTAGGGGTGTTCACGGGACGGATCGGGACCGGGACAGGCCCGTCTCGGTTCCGTCTCGATGAACAGTAACTGGACAGATTTTCTGTCCCGTGTCCCGGCCCGTCTCGGGGTTGTCCCGGTCCCGATCGGGACGGAACAGGACGGATCCGGGACAGGACCGGGACGTTTTGAAATTATTTTTTTTAATTTTTTAAAAAATTTTTTAAAAAAAATCTGATTTTTTTAATTATATTGTTTTTAGCTTAAATCTTATAAAAACATCTTTTTTATTTGTTTGGGCACTCTTAAACAAAAGATCAAAATATTACATATAATAGTCATTAAAAACTCTAAACAAAAGCTTTTAACACAATAAAAACTTGCTAAAAATTCTAATCATCAATAATCTCAAATCATTAACAAATATAAAAACTCTAAATAAATATATCCATAGTTCCATACAATAGTCTCAAATCTTTAAAAAAATATGAAAAAAATGATATTATATAAAAAATTAAAAAAATTAAAAAAAAAAGGAACCGGGACAAGACCGGGACGGGACGACCCCGTCCCGTGTCCCGTCCCGTCCCGGCCTTTTTTTGTGTCCTGAAATTTCCGTCCCGTCCCAATAAGACCGGGACTAGAACGAGCCGACCGGGACGGGTCGGCCTTGAACACCTCTAATTAGTATGTTAATATTAAGATGTCGGGCTACATGTGCCGCACAAAATCAATAAATTAACACCCAAATCCTCTAACGGTATTCTGCAACACACACCCTCACCGAAAAGTAGCTTCTTTCAACTTATAGCAGAAGTGCATTTCGGGGACAGAAGTCAGATTGCGTGAATGTGCGCCCAAACACCCATTTTCAGCTTGTTTGTTGCTTCTCCGTTGGGGATGCACGTTTGGAGGCCCAACCGTGATCCCAAATAGGCCCATAAGCTAACATCATGCAGCGATTGTGTGATTGAGGTATGAAAAGTCTACTTACTTTTTGAAGAATTTATGTCCAATTTTCCCCAGATGAGAGATATGTGGGCATGTGCCATTGTATAAACTTGCAACTTCGTCTATATTTCTGAACAACACAATTTCAAAATAAGTTTGTGTGGTGGTAATTAAATATAAGAGCTAGTTATTATATTTATTTTAGTTTTAAACATAAAATTTTAATTTATTTTACTTTTTAAATTTATAACTTTTTTTTGAATGTTGATTCCATGTGGGATGATGTTTTCATTAATATCTCATAATTAAATAGAATACTTTAAAAAATTCAATTCATATTTATTATAAATTATAATTTTATAAATTTATTAAATATTCAAAAATTAGCTATTTAATAATTATTTTTTTTGCCATAAGGTTATCTAATAATTATTATGGTTAGGACTAAAACTGAGAAATTTAAGTCAGAATATTCAGGTTGTGAAAGTTTTCACTTGACGCACGGAGTCACAATTTAAGAATTCGTGCTTTCCTAGAGGGGGAAAACATAAAAACATATACTCCACTCCGATCCTAATTATAAGACCGAACAAGATGTTATAATTAAGATTGGAGGTAGTACTTCCTCCTATTTTTAATATTACCTCATGTCCTTAATATATGAGCTAATTAATTTGAGTAGATTAAAAAGCTAGTTAAGTTAGTTATATATAATAAATAAGTATTGTTTTTCCTAAAATATCCTTACTAATCAAGTATATTTGACTAGAACTACTATTATTATAAGGATTACTCTAGACAAAAATAGATAAATGTAAGAGACAAAGTGGATTGAGGTATTATATTTAAGACCAAAATAAAAATCAAATGAGCTCTTATATTAAGGATCGGAGGTAGTATAAGAGTTAGTTTAACATTCAATTTGGTTCTAAATATAAAAAATTAATTTATTTTGTCTCTCATATTTATAACTTTTTTTAAGTAGTCCTTATACTAGTTGTACATATTAAATGTTTCATCAAATCAAATACTAAATATGAGAGCTAATTTGACTTTCAATTTGGCCTTACATATAATAACTCAAATCACTTTGTTCTTTTCCAAAATAATTCCTGTAACAGTTGCACATGTTAAATGTTTTATCAAATAATAGTTCTAGCTAATACGTATGTTGACATGATTGGCAAAGGTATTTTAGGGAAGACAATACATATTATTACAAATAACTACTTTGACAATTTGTTTTAATCTACTCAAATTAGTCAATTAACTCTTATATTAAAGAACGAAAGATAGAAGTAGTAGTAGTTTTAACAAATAAACAAACATGATTAATAAAGGCATTCAACGAAAGACGACTAATGATTACGTGAACTAATTTTTTTAGCCAGAGATAGTATTAATCTTTTTCATTCATCGTATCAATATTTGGTGGCAGAATTGATTTGTCGTTGAAATACTCGTTGCATGATAAATTTTCAAGAGCAACCCGTCTTGAGGGTGTAAGCAGCACAGGGAAAAAGAGTTCTCGCTTGAGGGTGTAAGCAGCACGGGGGCAGAGAAATGAGAATGTGGTGAATGTGATTTGTCATTTTTCTAGTGGCTACAGTACAAATGAGGTCCCATGTAGCTGAGAAACCTTATCCAGAATGCTCGTGCTTGCTTAATACACTTACCCCTCAAACTTCGTGGATTTCAAAGGCTTGTTCCTTAATCTGTATCTATAAATTTCTTGGGCACATTTCAATCACAGTTTCCGATTTCCTCGTCAAATTGGCATTTTCTTCCTTCTGTTTTTGTTTCCCCACCTCTGGTTGGGGAGACATTCGTTGTCTCACTTCGTCGACGTGCATTTCCAGCTACCACAACTTCCACTTCTTGGGTCCATTCTGAGTGCGTGCGTGTCATCCTCGCGGTAAGGCCAATCTTCTCTGTTCTGTATCGTTCCGACTTTATCGAATATAGGAGCTGGGTCCCATTCATTCTTCCTTTCTGCTCTAGCTTTCATGCCCTGCAACTGCAAATCACAATGAAATGCGATCATTTCCAACATTTCCGATAGCATATTGTCTAGCGAAATCGAGTCTTTCTCACTGGAATATACATTGTAGCTTCATATTCTAAATTCAATGGCCATTGCATCTTTCACTTTATCTTCTCTGCTTCAACCCTCCACTTCTTCTATTTCTTCTTCTTCTTCTTCTTACTTCCTGGGTGGGGTCCATCTCCGCTCCCATGAAAGCTTCATCTCTGTCCATTCGCTTTATTCGACTTCAAATACGGAGGTCCCTTCTAGGCGCCTGCGAATAGTGGCTGTTGCTTCTGGCGACTATTATGCTGCTCTTGGAGTTCCCAAATCCGCCACAAGCAAGGAAATTAAAGCGGCTTATCGAAGGTTAGCTCGCCAGGTATCGATTTTTACTTGGGGGGATTGGGATTCTTCATTTTGTATGGAATTAATGCGAGGCCTGTGGCCATAAATTCGGGAAATGGTATATATAAGTTCGGAAACTTCTTTACTTGGAGGATGCCTTTAAGTGGGATCGATTTTCCAGAGCTAGTTTTCATAATCTTGTAGTTCGTTGTAACCTATAAGCTCCCAGACTTTTTAAATGGAGGAAATTTTGTGTCTTTTGCCTATCAGACACCCTCGTCTTCCAACGGTGCTCAAAATGAGTATTAATCTCACAAAAGTACTTTCAAAATCATTATTCTAAAGATCTTCAAAATTCGTGCTTCTCAAAATTGCAATTTTCTTGACGTTGCAAAATTATACGAAATTACTGTTTCCTTAAGATGGAAACACTCTTGTTTAATTAGATGATGTCATAATGAGCACTAGTGTTACTTCACGAAGCTTAGTTCAAACA